GTCCAAACTTTATTTATTCATTTTATAGTAAAATCCATCTGTATATTAGATTCTGTTTATAATGGTATTCATTCAGTAGAAACCCATGTCCTATATTTATGGAACCATTATTTATCCTGCACTTGCTGCTATTGCACTTCTGGTTAGACCTAAACTGCATTTCGTTGTCTTGTACCTGTACCTGTGTAATGACAATAACTTTGAATCAAATCTAATCTAATTAGTGCCTTTTGATCATCTCAGACCAGATTTCCTATTTTCTATTGACTCTACCTTTCCGATCCCTCCTCCAAATTAGTAAGGTTATAATGAGCTATTTTGTATGTTTATGCTGCTATAAGTTTAGGCTGCTGGAGGATATAGGGATCACTTTTTATCATTCTGATTAACTCTTTCTCTATTCTTCCATTCTGCAGTATTTGTTAGTTTCGCCCTTATTGTCATGTTCGTTCTGCTCCATCCTGGAGAGAAATATCAGCTGGGCTGCTGCCATCAACAACTTTGATTATAGATGTTAGAGGGGCCATTTTCTTCAGTGCAGACATGTTTCCTGTACTGTCACTAACTGTGTGCTCCCTTTTTTTCTTCAACATGGGAACTGGCTCAGACCTTGTCTGTCTGACTGGGTCTTTAATGGACTGGCCCACCTGTGGCGCTAGTTAAGAGTTACCTTTAGCATTTCTGCTTTTGTGTATATGCCTGCTTCTGCCCCCTTGAACCCCAGTCGGTCTTGACAGAAGGCCGCTCACACTGTGTCTGGTTTTACTGGAAGTTTTTTCGTGTTAAAAGGGAAATTTTCCTCTAAACTTAGGCTGCATGCATGCTCATTGTGAAGGATTGCAGCAGGAGGACCATGTCCTGCAAGTCCAAAACTTGGTGCAATCAGCTGGTTTTCCTTGATAGACATTTTTAACCAATTTGACTGTATGATCTGATAGAACTGTCTCTGTAAAGTGCCCTGAGATGACATGTGAATTGGCTCTATAATAATAAACTGCATTGAATCGAATTAAAATAGCAAGTGAGTGCAATTCTCTGAGCATTTCTAGTTAATGAGGAGACTGGATCAGATTGCAGCACACAAAGAGCAGCAGAGAGGAGAAGAAAAATAAGGATGTGATTGGTAGAATCTGGTGGAGAGAGTCTGGAGGACGATGATGAGAGAAGCACTTAAAGGAGAGGATAAATCCTTTGATCTGAAGGGGGGCTATCTACCTAAGACCCGGCAACGTAAAATTGTCAACACTGGGCTTGCCAATTGACTCTGCCAGTAGGTTAAACATGAACATTACACTCTGGCTTTGGCCCAACCACACAAGCACACATTCACAAGGTGGTTTTGTGCAGACTCCGACTAAACCATCGTTTCGGTTCCTGGAATAAAACCACAATACCTAGATTACCGCGACATGGAATTTTAGGTGCTTTCCATAGATTAGGACAAGAAAGTACCATGAATGAACAAGCTTCTCTGTTTAGGCTTTCCTTTGTACAGCTAATTGGCTCTTTTAGCATGAAGCAAAATAATCCTTCTGATCTTACAGTGCTTTGTACAGTTTTCACCAACAGAAGCGAATGGCATAACAGCTCAGCTTTTCCTAAACACCGCCCCAGTTTTTAGATGCAATATTGCAGAGCTGTGCTATCAGTTTTCTGTTTTGGACTGTCTGTCTGAAACTTCCCACTGGAGCAAACAGTTCAGGGTTGAAAAGCACCAAGGATAACATTAAAAAAAAGGAAAACCCAAAACAAATCAAAGTCTGCTCTTTTCCCTGCAGCTAAAACTCTGGTTAATAAGTGACATAATAAGTGGCCCCGGCATAATTGTCTAGCGTCTGTTTGACAAGTTTCACAGAAAACACGTAACTAAGAAGCACTACAGCCGTGTTCTTCGTGTTTTCTTCATGCAGCTTGACCTGACAAACACAGGCGTGGATTTGTGACCGAGTATGCATGACTACTAAGCTTAGTATTTTTCATCTCGAAATGGGTTAAATAGTTTTTTGTTTCAGTAACTGCAATCTATACAGACGTCAAAACAGGACATTGGAAAAAGCCCAAGAATTCTCAGAGTATAATTTACGTTCACATTAGAAATAGCAAATATATGTCCCAGTGAGACAGCATTTCACGGGGATTATTTGCCAAATCAGCACCCAAAATATTACACACAGATTAAAACTCAACATATAGAATAAGTGCATCAATATAAAATTGCATCATCTTAGAAGCAGAGGAGTATTTTAACAGCTGTAGTCAGAAAGCTGTGAGGCACTAAGGTGATTTTGCTTTAATCTTGTATGAAGAGGTTAAGGCCTCTTTCAGCTCCCCTCGCCATCCTACGCAGGGGTCAAATTTAGGGATGCAATATATATAAGCAATAACTTTTGCATCAACCAATTTTTTACATATCAGTATCGGTCTGAGAAGTAAATTAGGCCAAAATTAAAGCAGCACAAAGAAATATGTTTACCTTAATATATCCTGTTTTAAGTTTGTTTGATGGTATCAAAGTGTTTATGAGACGACTGAGTAGGTCTGTCATCTCTCTCCAGTGGTTCCTGCAGGAAAACCACACTTGCAACAGAGACCTGGTGGAATCTTGTGGCAAGACAAACGGCTTTACTGCCAACGAATGCAAGGCCGTTATCATCAAAAACCACATGCCCATTATCATAAAACACAGTGATCCATTTTATTTGTGCTAATATAAAAACACGGAGAGGCTTAACCACCCAAGGAGGGCATCTAAACTGTTAACATGGGAGCAAGGGTTGTTCTACTGAACACACA